CCAAGAAGGAGTTGTCCGATTGAAACGAAAATTGGTGGATAGGAAGACAATGTACAGAATAGTAAATGATTAAAATTTCAGAACAATTTAATAATTTATTGCAGAGTTACAGTAACAAGTTCAATAAGGTGTTGACCCGCCTCTAGCCTGGATACAAGCTGCCACACGGCGTGGCATAGACCGATAAAGCTCTCGGATGGTCTCTTGCGGTATTTCCTGCCAGATGCAATCGCCTTCCCATCATATCCTTGACATGCTCGATAGGTGAGAGATCTGGCAGGCCAAGGAAGAGTTTGACAAGCTTGCAGACAGTTCATAGTAACACGTGCCGTATGTGGTCTGGCATTGCCCTGCTGAAAAACCAGCCCAAGGCTCTGCAAAAGGAACGGTAGCAAAACAGGTCTTAGGATGTCGTCGACGTACCGCTGCGTAGTAAGTGTACCTCTAATGACGACCAAAGGGGTCCGACTGTCAAAGGAAATGGCACCCCAGACCATAATGCCTTGTTGAGGGCCGGTGTGGCGTGCAATAGTGAAGGCAGGATCCCCCCTCTGCCCTGTGCGTCTCCAAACTCATCTTTGATGATCGTCAGGACACAGTTGGAAGCGGGATTCGTCGCTAAAGACTNCCGGTGTGGCGTGCAATAGTGAAGGCAGGATCCCCCCTCTGCCCTGTGCGTCTCCAAACTCATCTTCGATCATCGTCAGGACACAGTTGGAAGCAGGATTCGTCGCTAAAGACTATACGTCCCCAGTCGGCATCATTCCAGCCATATCTGTTCAAAACATTCATGCATACAAAATTGCAAAGCAATCGGATGATTGCTTCTTGATGCATCGATTTTTTTGTTATAGAGTATAGTTTAAAAAAAATATTTTTTTTGAAAAAAAGAAGAAAAAAATTTAATAATTCAAAGACAAATAAAAGCTGAACGGAAAAATAATAACACTTGACAAAAATAAACTAGTTGAGGATACTTTTGAACAACCAAAAAAAATAAAATTGCCCAACTGCAAAGTGTTCTTTCCCTTCTTTTTTGATGAAATTCTATACTAGATAAAGACATTTATACCCAAATTGAGTCGTCAAATACATAGTGCATTGCCCCAACAGCCCATTGTGGGCTAAGAGATTTTAGAGAATAAGGTACTGCAGTTTCGTGATCAGTGGCAAGATAATGGTTAGCCAGGTAGCAAAATTTACAGAGTGAATCTGCAACATTATCTTCCTAAATCCAATGAGACTATATGTTGTTAATGAGACTATATGTTGTGTAACCTGATCAGGACAGACAAAAGGAGAAACATGGGTGACAAAGAGCTCTAATGAAGATAATAAAATTTTCTTTGAAAAAAAAAAGAGAATTAGTATTTAATGCAATGTTACATTTGAACATGCAATGTATAAGATATTAGAAAATAAGTCATTTATTTATTCTGCTAAAAAAGGAGCTTAGCTTACCAAGACAATTCAACTTTCCAATATTTAAGGCAAAGCCAACAGAAACGATGTTGGCAGTTCTTATTGTTGCAAATAACATAGTTGCAGCCGCCATTTTTTTGAATAGATGCATTACATTTTGGACATTCCTGCAAAAATCAAACTCGTATAAAAATTGTATATTTCAGAAGCCTGTTTCTTAACAGGTCGCTTTTTTTTAAAAAAATAAAAAAAAGTAAAGCATTCAAAACTTTTAGATAAAATTTTATACAAATGAAAAAAAGAAGAAAATTATTTTAAATACTAAAAAGGTAATAACCTTAAATACACTACACATCAATATTTAATGCAAAAATGATTTTTGTTGCTGTAATAATATTCAGTTATATCATATTGGTGAATATTAAAATTTAAAAGCTTTAAACAAAACATTACTATTTTTTGACCTTCTAGTAAGTTTTCAAAATTTGAAAAAACGAATTTTGAATTGCACAAAATTAGTTAACCTTTGTATTCCTATTAATCCAAGTGAGTGATGCTACATCTTTGTCACGCTCTGTCTTCCATCTTTGCAATAAATTACAACTAACGGGATCATGCCAACGTTCTCCACAAGCAAAACTAGAAATGAATTAACAATAAATAAGACATAACCATACAAAATAGGTTAAACATTAAAGATACTTATAACCAAGTCAAGGTGATTTTATTGGCTGTTCGGATTGAATCACTATCCCCAGATCGCCAACCAGCGGTGTAAACAGCGCCTTATTGTCAAAGTTTTAATGTACTGAAGTTCAGTAATAATTTAAAATCTATCTGGCACTGATTAAATCACACAAACCACCGTAAGTATGAGTTTTAATTATTTACATTTTACATAACTGCGTGAATAAAATTGTAATAGCAATAAGTAAACATTATTAAAGCTTTAATTATTATTTACAAAGAGAGAAAATGTATATATTAGAAAGTCAATAAAATAAACTGTTACCAAAAAGTGTGCAGACATTCACAAGTCACAGGCTGAACATCCACATGTTGCACGGCAATAGCAAAGTTACAACCTGGCTGTGGGCACCATCTTAACAGTTTATTACACTAAAAATTTAAAACAAATTGAATTCATTGTGCTAATAAACAAATTGTAATGTTAATAAATAAATTCCTGCTGATTTATTCTTTTATAAAACAATATCCAGCAGCTCCCTCTCCTATCATCCACGTTTTACGTTATTGATTCCATTATATTTATTCTACTTTGATGTTTTTATTTCCATGAACTTGATTAGGAGAAAATTAAAGAATAATTTAAATCATTGAATATTTAACGGAAGCTTTAAAGGTGATAAGTTCTAAAACAAACAGCAAGGAGGAAGATTTTAGTATTTTTAAAATAGTTTAGTTCAAAATATTCAGAGAAAGAAACATGTAGAATCAATAAATAAAAACATTTACATAATGAGGTACTTATGTACAGTGTTAGGAGTTGAAGCAATACAAATTACTTATAATTATATTGAAATAGCACTTTCACTGCAATTTGGGAAATTTAGAGGCTGATTTAAAGACTTTAGTGCACAATAAAAAAGATTCAAACAGTATTCCTAGATAATTCAGACAGGAAAAGTTGAGATTGCAAAAGATGATCAGTGGCAAGATAATGGTT